CCTGCCTCAGGCAGGGCTGTTCCCAGGTCAATTCAGCTCAGCCCCACCACTGCATCCCTGGCCTGGGGCAGGACTGCTCATAGCCTAATCCAGCCCCAGGATGCCTGTGACCCAGGAAAGGCTGCTCATGTTTTGCCAGCCCCAGGCCCATTTAACTTGGCTCAGCCCCCTGCAGTTATAGCCCCATGTAGCCTACTAGGTCCTAGACCCTGAAAGGGCTCTGTGCTGGGTGCCCCTCAGGTTTTCCTGTGGCCTCCTATCTGCCTCTGTTGGCCATTTCCAGTCCTCTGGTCTCAAACTGAACTGCAACACAAACACAAGCACCCATCTCCAAGCTAAAAGTCTCCCTCACTCTGGGTTAATGTCCCCCTGCATCTCTACCGCCATGTGAGTTCTCACCTTCCACCTGTGCTAGGTGGTTTGGGTGCTTGCTTGGCTATCTCTTTTCAGCCCTTCTCTTCCCAGAACTCACTCCTTGCTTTGCAGGGCCAGACTGCTTACCTTCCCCCCCACCCCCCGTGATGAGCTTATATACCTTGCCAGACTGCTCCTTCCAGTTAGATGACTCCCTAGTCTAGCAGAGGGGTTTCCCCTTGTACTTACTGGTCAGCATGCCTCTCTTTGCTGCAGCTTAACCCAGCTGCTTGTAGCCATTACTCTCAGACTTCCTGGGAATCTACTCCACATAGTGAGCTTGATGCAGTGCGTCAGCCTCCTGCCTACACAGCAAGGTTAAATTGCTGCACCTTCCCCTTAAAGTTTAACAGGAGCCACTGGCTTCCTGTTACACTTCCTTTCAGGAAGGGCCTGAAAAAGCTGAATGAAGAATGCCTTGCACTTGAAAGCTTGTCTAATGCTTTCGCAGCTACATATTTTGTCCAATAAAAGATATCAGCCTAAGAAATCCTTGCCTCTCACATTGCTTACCAAAGCATTTCCTTCACATAGGAGCCACCTAACTGGTTCAGAGCATCTTAAAGACCTGTCTGTCAGGAAAGACAGTTACCCTTCACCACTGTCATTCTCTTCTGCAGAAAAGGACCCATTTGGTCATGTTAAGCAATTGCTTATGTCATGGGCTGTCTTGATGATACACTAACAAATTCTGGTGTCCCTTTCTGTGCAGTGTGGATAGAAAGCTGACTGGTACGGATGGCTGTGCAGGTCTTTCCAACTGTAGGTCTCTACTAAAAAATGTTACAACGTACAAATGGTACTCAGCTCATTGGATCTGCTGTGTGCAGTTAAGAACCTGACTACTTGTATTACTGAAGCTTAGAAGAAGGCAAGTGCTCTCCAAAAATAATTCCATGATAGCCCATTAATATGGTAGTGGATGAGTCTGGATCTAGAAGTGATATATCTGAAGAGTGGGATTCAGATGGTTTTAAACTGTTTTGAAAAAAAGCCACAAGAATCTTTCACTTCCTTCATAACTACCCGGCAACATTGCTTTCTTGTTTTAAGTTTTCTCTGCTGGATTTTGTATTAACAGAATCCATTTATATGGTTCCCAAATATTATGGGGCTTACACATTCATATCTCAACAACAGTACTACTAATTTTTGCTAGGACTCCATATATCTGAACCACATTTTCTCATTTTGATATTGAACAAGATTAGGCTTCAGAAGAAACTTCAGATATGAGCACATGGGAAAAGTTAGCAAAGGTCAAACTTTAAGTGACAATGAATCTTTACAGTTCATGAAAGAGAATCCTAGGAAATTCCATGCAATTAAGAATGATTGCATGTGGGGCTGAGGTCATTTATACAATTTCCCCAAAATTATATGAGCTTAAAACACAAAGAGGACTTCAGTCAGGCAAGACTGCAAACATCTCTAACATATAATGAAGATTAATCTACTTGATGAATTACCATCTTGGGGCACTGAGGAATTAACCTGATATTTCTCCTACAAGTCAAACTAAGGATTTACCTGTGGTAATAGCAGCATAGATAGATGTGATGCAACCGGCTAAGAGTACAAAGAGTCTGGCTGTCCCTGATAAAGGTCCAGTGGACTCTGTTGGTGATGACCTGATGAGCACACCATTGCAATAAGAGCATATATTGGCATCTAAGTCTATTTGCAGATAGCATTGTCCCAATTATTATAAAAAAATTACTCAAATCAAAGCATTGAAAACAACTCCAAAGACTTCTGAGAAGCCATGGACTGAAGATGGAACTATACAGATTGCTCTGTCCTAAAATATAAGGCCTCTATAGGTTGTATAAAGAGGGAGGGAAGTGTTGAGATATTTACAGGTCTGTTTGTGCTCAGAAGCTGGTAGAGCCAGCTTGATATAGAGGGTAGAGAGCTGGGCCCTTGGAGATTCAAGTTCTGTTTCCTCATCTGCCACTGGATTGGCCAGCTGAGTGACCTTGGGCAAGTTCACTCCAAATCTTATCCGTTGATGTCAGCAATCTCCAAATTATGCTCTAGCCCTTCTGAATGAGTCAATAACTTACATCTGACTGTGAGAGTATGAAATAAATGACATTTTTTTCAAGCTTGAAAGTTTGCACAGCATTTTTTGGACTTGTAAATACATTGAATGTTAGTTTGAGACTAAATGTATGAAAATATTATAAAATGGAGGAGCTTCTTTAAGAAGGAAGTAAAGGCATAACAAATAGGATCATAGGAAAGTAGGACTGAAAGGGACTTCACAAGGTCATCTAGTTCAGCCCCCTGCTCAAGGCATAATCATCCCTGACTAACCTCCTGCCCCTCCAGCGAAGTGTCTGTCCAACCTGACCTTGAAAATTGACAGGGATAGAAATCCCACAGTTTCTGTAGGTAGCCTTTCCCAGCACTTGACCATCCTCATAGAAGGTTCTCCGACCTAAACTTCCACTGCTACAGCTTGAGTCCATTGTTCCTTGTCCTGATTTAGCTAAGTGCAGATGGCAACCTTACTAAGAAATTGCATTATAGAGCTATCTTGGTACCTCTCCCTATGTTGCTGAAAAGGTTTTCACATCTGGACCCTTATAATAAGCTTCCATGTCCAAACATTGTGCTCATAACTGACTGGAGATGCATCCTTTGGAGAAGTAGATCTGATGGTCTATTCTCTGTTCCCAGAGAACAGCTCAGATGAGCAATCTCAAGCTCCGTTGAGAAGTAGGTATTAACTGGAATCTGCAATCAAATCAATATCCTTTTATCTTTTATAGAAATCTCACTTTACCAGGTAACATCCTGAACATCAACCCTAAGAGCCTGTTGTTTGAAATAGCCAGTGCTGAACTGGTAAGTACTTTTGTCTTACTACATACAGGAAAGCAAGGGGTTTTTTGGTGATATTTTTTTATTGGGTCAACTGTACAGTGATGGGTGCATGATTGCACTCTTAATACATTTTACATATGTATGCAGAGACATTTCATGAAAAACTTGCTAAACCATGTTATTTCTGTTACAACCTTGAGGACACACCATAGAAGTGACAGGATTCATTTTTGTAGGGCCCGATGCTAAGCATACCACCAGGGTGTTCACTTTGGCTCAAATCCTGTTTCACCCTCAGATGAACAAGTGATACTGAGCCATCTAAGGCAGACACATAAATGGTACATACTGCCTCTTGAGCTGATTTTAGACCTTACCACCATCTATGCAACTAGAATGGTTCTTCTGAGCATGCTCAGAAGACATTCTGTACAGGCACCTGAGACTGTTGTAATCCCCAAGGTCAGATTCTGTGTGTAAATCCAAGAAGCCTTAGTTGGAGGAAACTATTGGATGGAGGAGTGCCCATTTATCTTTTGTCCAGAGATCTACTGGTAATAACACTGGGCAGGAAGTATAAGAGACAGGTTCTAGGCCTACTTCAGCCAAAGAGGGCTTGAACCCGCATCACCCACTTTCTAGCACCATGCCAGGACCAAGCAAGACCTCTACCCCACTCTTATACTCGAGTCACTGGGCAGACAAGAAAGAAAATCATGGAATCAGAAGCAAAGCAAGCCAGAAATAGTTTTTCTCTGGCTAAGTAAGTGGGGCACTACCCTAGAAAGAATGGTGTCCTGGTATCTGACCCCCCCGTACTGCCCTCAGTGCTGTTTTAATATTAAAATTAAAATGTCAATGAGAATTTTTTTAATTTCTAAAAATCCTCTGTATCCACAGGAAGCTAAAATAAGAGGAAAAGAAAATAACCAGAAGAAGCAAATTTTTGGTGGTAGGTTAGTGAAGACCTTGCTTACAATTTTGAAGTACCTATATATTCATTGTCAGCTTACATGGGTAGGCAAGCTTTTGGAAAGAGAAAAGTGGCCAGCCCTCTGGAGAGCCATCTTTGTTGCCCTTCTATGATCTTTTATAGTAGAAGTGGAGGGAGGCCTCCCTACAAAGACAGAGTGTATCAGCTAGGACTTCTCAGCTTAGAAAAAGATGACTGGGGTTCAATATGATAGGTGTCTATGAATGCTGTGGAGAAAGGAAATAGTAATTTACTGTTTACTATCTTTCACAATACTCGAATTATGGGACATAAAAGAAAAATATTAGCAAGCAACGTTAAAACTGATAAAAGGAAGTTCTTTTTTCATACATTATAGTATTAATTTATGGAATTCATTTCCACAAGATATTTTAACCAGGCCCAAAAGAAGACTGAAAAATGTATGGAGGATGGTCCATAAGTGGGTATTAAACATGACAGAAAGGATGCAACCTCTAAATTAGGACTTCCTTGGTCTCTAAATACTGGAAAATATAAGGGAAGAAGGGCAGAGGCCAGTTTAGTCTGTACAGGCCCTGCATAAATATCCTTCCTTTTGGCATCTGCTCTGTGAGGAAGGACAAACTGGTCTAGATGGACCTGTGACTTGACCTAGTATGTCATTTCTTATGTTCTTGGGAGCTTGAGTCTACAGTCCAGTGAGGCAGACATCCCTGGGCTTATTTCTGTTTAATCAAAAGATTGATTAATAAAGAAATCATGAGCAGTCCTCTCCCATTCCCTGCCACCAGGTGCCTAACCCTATTTCTTTGACTCATTCTTCTGGTGCCAGGCTGTACAGGGAAATGTTATTTATTATATGAGTCACAGTGCTTGCCAAAAGACTATAAAGGAGAACATTTGAGACTGAAAGTTTGAAAACTCTCTACAAGCTTTAGGTGTCTAATTTCTACTAAGTTAAATTTATGCATCCAGATTTCTTACACAGCTTCAAATATCCAAGCCTTAACATTTTAATTAAATCCAAAAAAGAGGGCATTTGATCATAAGGTCTTTAGCAGGGATTTTCCTTTCATTCTGTGTTAGCACAATGCAGTACCAATTCATGACTGGAACTGATAGGTGGAACTACACCAATAATAAAAATAATAATAAAAATAATAATAAAAATAAAAACAGGAAGTAAATTTATTTTAAGAAGTAATTCACTGTTATAATAAAAAACATTAGAAGTATCAAATACACAGTAAAAAGGAGAATGAATGAGAAAGATGTGAAAGAAGAAAGTGAGACACTGACAGGGAAGGCACTGAGAGAGTGAAAAGATTAGTGAGACAGAGAACAGGTTGCCAAGGGCTGGCCAACAAGCAGGTAAAGTGTGGCCAGACAAAAATATGTGGGTGCTAGGGAAAGCCTTTCCTAGCTTCAGAGACCATGTCTGGGTTTCATCTTTTAAGGACTTGTTCCTCCCTACAGTGGGATCAATAGGAGAATGCAGCTTCCCATGGGGTTGATAGATGTTATCTGAATTGACTCCAAGACTGGACCTCAAAGAGCCATGGAGAGAAGTTTGTCAGCATCAATAAACCTGCCAGAAACAGAAGCTTTCAGTGGGAATGGGACCAAACCCTTAAGGCATATAAGCGTTATTTGCCTTGCACTGTTTTTGGGAAAGTTCCTGCCAATGAGTGGGTTTGTGCATAGATGTACCATGCGGGGACCTGCTAGAACATCCATTGCATTTCTCTCTTGTTATCCTACAGGATGAATCTCAAGTGGATTTTTGTTCTTTTGTGGCGGCTAGCTGGCATACTCCTGGCCACTGTCCTGGCCATTACATTAGTCACCTTCCTTGTCATCTGCACCTGCCTCTCAAGTCAGACAGTGACAGAGGCCTACCAGCGAACATCACGGCACTTTTGGGCCTATTACTTCTGGTCTTACATGAAGCTGCACAACCCCGGCTTGTTGCCTCTGTGATCCCTGTGTGCAGAAGCTGTCGACCAATTCAAGCATGCCCACAGAAAAGCCTTGTCAGTCTACAACATTGTGGAGCTTGAAATGATGGTTTCCCTCCTAAGGTTTGTGATTTGTGATGCCCTGGGCTATAATTTTACACTATCCCTTCTGCATTAGTGACTTGCATAAGAAATTCAAACTTCAAACTCCTGGGGCCAGGGGGTCAGCTGCACATCCAGATAATTAGCGAATCAGCATGGTAGGAATGTGCTTTCATGTTAGGGCAACACTATGCTAGATAAAAGCTAGAACGGAACTGTTAATAACAGATAACATCTGTTTCTATACATGTCCGCATGTTAATATATAAATGTATTCTGTAGGCTTGGCAGGCACTATAGATGTTTGCTGAGAAAGGACAGACTGGTATTTTCTATTGGCTCTAAGGGATGAATTCAGATTCTTTTATTCCATTGCAGAATGAACTGGAAACTATCGATCCACTCTTCAGCTCTAGACAAGCCTTAGTTTAGGCAGAAACGCCCATGTTGCCACTTCTACTGCACACTGTGGTAGGCCAAGGTGTTTCTGGGTGCTTAGATAATTATCTGTAATCACAGCAGTACATTTTTGTAAATGAAATACACTTTGCCTTGCTTCCATGCCATTATCTCACAGCTAAGAATGAAATATCTAGATAGCATATCATGGCAAGTATTTGCTCAGCTGTGTTGAGGTGGCATTGACCTAACTTACATCTTTCATCAGCCCACAGAAACAGGAACTAAATATTTCAGGAAGTAAATACAACAGGAGTTTGGCCCTATCGTCATGTTTCTGAAGAACCATGCAACTTAAGATGCAATGGAGCTTCAGGGAACTGGAACAAAGGGGGTAACTCCAGAGGTTTGGGGTTTTTTTATGAACACTAAGGATAATATGATTGCTATAGCCTCAGTGTGCCATGTGACATTTTCCATTGGGCCCTGCCAGAGATCAGGGGAGGGAAGAAGAAAGGGGGAGAGTGGCTCTAAGGTGGCAGTGTGCAGCTTCAAATTTCACATGGTGAGACTGGTGCGTGGGGCTCAGATATTTACCCTTGCAATCACTTGTGTAACTGTGTTAAAGCAGCCAGTGCTAGCTCGTCTGTAGTGAACACGTTGGTTAGCCGAGATTCAGCAGCTGGAGACAAACCAGCAGTCACTCAGCCCAGACACAACAGCGTGCTTCCCAGGCCCCACACTGAGGCCCAGAGAGGAGGGGAAAAGGGAGTAAAGAAGCCATAGCCACCATGGACAATACAAGAGATGATCAGCTTCCCAGTGCATGATGGACATACTGTGACTTAGCATTCTCAGCAGGACAAAGGGCCAATTCTAGCCAATACCAAACTCCTGGAAGGAATTATAAGATGACTTCTCTGTACAAGACCCAGGCTAGATCTGCAGGGATTACAGGTCACCAGCTACTGGTTGCAAACTACCACCTTCTTCTAAAAAAAATACAAGAGTGAACAAGAAAATCCCTGGAGTTTGATAACCCACTGTCAGCTGCTTAGGGCATTTTCTCATTGCCACTGTCTGCATAGGCACACTCAAGGCATCTCTACATGGCCACGGGCACACAGGTGCGTGCACCACCAGGAAGCATGGCAAACCCACTCTGCATATGCTGCACCATTAAATGATTCCATGCACTTACCCTCAGTGCTGCCTTAGACAGATGCCAATGCAGCTGCCTAAAACAGATATCTATTGGCAGGTTTCAGGCACTGCTCTAAGCCTGGCAACTTTGCATCCCTATAGGGGTGCAACCCACGCAGCATGGACTTTACTGTGGCATTATGCAGCAAGGTACAATAATGGCGTAGAATGAATCCAAGTTGAGTAAAGGTATGAATTTGAAGTGGCTCTGTCAAACCAGATTATTTTGGGTTCCATGTGTCCATGCCAGGGTATAAATTGATCTTCATTCTCTTTAATTTAATTCACTTTCATAATGAAGTAAGGTGAATTCAATTCAGAATATGGGTGTCCAGTCAAGGGTGTAATGATGTTTAACTAATCCAGTCTAGAGGTCAATTTGAAATAACTTGCCCTTATGTACACAGTCCTTCAGTTTTTATAATACTACAGGACAGGCAAGGTTAAGACCCTACCAAGGCTTAAGCCAGTTCTCCCACTCTGAAGTCCTATCTTTTTCTTCCTGTGAGAGCAGGAAGGAGCTCCATATTATCATCGTGAGATTTGTCATCATAGTTGAAGAGGTCCTCAACCACCTAGCATCTTAGTATCTACCATATCTGGCTTGGTAAAGAGAGTTATGGACCAGGAATTTGTTCTGTGGCTTGATACAAGGTTGGACAGAATCACTGCAAGGAAAAACTAGGGGAATATTTGTGTTGCAGGAAACTCCTCAAAGCAGACTTTCTTTAGAAGTTTTGCATAGCAATGCATGCCATGCTACTGCAAGCATACCTCTCCCCTGCACAGGAAGGGACTGTTGTCCTTCCAGGATGCCATCAGGACATGCCAAGCCATCTCTGAGCACAATTTCAGGCACAAGGAGGAAAATTTAAAACTTCTGTAAGAATATTACTTCTGCACCTATCTTCCAAGCATCTACAACTCAAATAGCATCTTGACAGCTTTAGCATGAGCTACATTTTTGTTCCCACTTGAATAAGTAGCACAAGCATCTCTCCAAAGCCCAGGTGCCAGTTTATACTGTTCTGGGCCTGTTTTCTTCATTTTGCTAGCCATGAAATGTATACCTACAAAGAAGCAGCACCTATATAATTTTCAAATGAAAAGTCTTCATAAGAGCACTACAAAGGCATGTACTTGTGTCACATCCCTACTTGTAGTTTCATAGTTGGTAGGGTCAGAAAGGACCTGAGCAGATCATCAAGTCTGGCTCCCTTGCCATGGGCAGGAATGAATGCTGGGGTCAAACAACCCCGGCTAGGTGATTATCTAGCCTCCTTTCGAAGACCCCCAGGGTAGGAGTGAGCACCACTTCCCTTGG